TTTAACTAATCTTTTGTTGATAATGTAAGTAAATAACTTGCCAAATATACTAAGTACAGTTATTCCACGGTAGTTATTGGTATCTTTAGGGTCACCCTGTTTATAGACTGGAACAAGAATGCCAACTGACCAAGATTCAGGAAAGTTCCCAGTGTCGAGGATAATATTGAAAATAAGCTCAAGATATGGAAGTAAAAGATCAGATGAATGTTTGAAAATTCCGGGAGGATGTTGTCTAATCCTGGTGACTTGTTACACTTTAGATGTTGTATACTGTTAAGTATTTCATCTCTACTTATTGGGGCATCCAATATGTCGGGGGCTACACCTGTAATATGAGTAGACTCAGTATCGTTCACATAGTCTTGTCTATTTGGATCTGGGTTGTTATCAGAGGTTGAGAATAATGACTGAAAGTAATTGAACCATTCGTCGATTTCAATGTTATTATTTTGGCTTTTCTTAGGATTTAGTGTTTTAAGTTCATACCAGAATTTTTTTGGCATCATTTATATTATTTACAATTTTGGGTAATTTGTATAGTTCCAGTTCCGGTTAAACTGTGTAACTGGATCAATATTGTTTTGCTGTTTCAGCATCCTGTTGTTTACGATTCAGATGCACCATTAGATATACACAAAACATTGACGTAGTGTATTAAATATATAATACGACACAGACAACGATGAAAGATCAATGTTTACTGTTGAGTGAAGTAACAAAATAAGAGAGTGTTGACAGCACCATCCCAGTTGTTCCAGGCTGTTTTCCGAGTCCTTCAGAAGGAGCCAGGTTTGTTCCGTACACCCCTACAAATGAGTACCTTATATATATATAATAGAAGTTGCTTTGCAAGGCAATTGTAGAATTTATACACATACAAGAGAAAACGGATGGATGCGTACTTCAGAATCTTTATTATATACTAGCCACATAAAGAAACTGTGCATTGTCAAAATATTATCCCAGTTGATAAATTACGATAACAATGTCAAAGGTACATATAAACTTTAATGGAGGGATCATGAGACCATAACAAGTCGGGAGAATTTCAATTTATATGAAAAGTCAATCACAATGACGTCACGAGTCCACAAGCGGGACAGGGGTCAAACGACCATGTCACAAGCTCAATAACGGGTATGTCCACCATCGGCATTGAGAACAGCAGTGCATCGACGACGCATAGAGCCTATCAAACGTGCAAGGAAGGCTTGTGGGATGTCACGCCAGATTCTCTCAAGTTCTGTTGCAAGGTCAAGGACGTTATCTGGCGGATGAGGAAGACGGCGTAGACGTCGATCCATCTCGTCCCAAACATGCTCTATCGGGGAGAGATCCGGTGAATTTGCAGGCCAAGGCAGTAAGTCAACGTTGTGGTGTTGCAAGAAATCCATAGCAACCCTTGCCGTATGAGGGCGGGCATTGTCCTGTTGGAATGTTAACCCAGGGCCATGACGTTGCAGAAAGGAATTGCCACAGGTCGAAAGAATCTGATCCCTGTAGCCCACACCAGTTAAGTTGCCTGAACAATCACCAAAGGAGTTCTTTGGCGTGCTGTTATTCCACCCCAAATCATCACGGAACCACCACCAAAGCGATTCCTCTCCAAGACACAGGCCTGTGCATAACGTTCTCCCACGCGTCTATAGGCACGTTGACGTCCATCACTATGGGAAATGTTAAACCTGGACTCATCTGTAAAAACAACATTTCTCCACCAAAACAAGGGTCTGCGGACATGATTTCGGCACCACATTCGGCGAGCTTGTCGATGACGTTGTGTCAGGATAGGCTGTATGGCGGGACGTCGTGGTCTGATCCCGTGATGACGTAAACGTTGTCGAACTGTGTTGGGGTGGATACGGCGAAGTCCTGGGATGGTTCGGGCAGTCATCACTGCAGTCTGAAACCTGTGGCGAAGATGGGTCACCCTTATCCATCTGTCCTGTCTTGGCGTTGTTACACGTGGACGTCCAGAACGTGGCCGATCGATGACGTCATTTGTGTTCTGGTAGCGTCTCACCAGTGCAGAAATGGTGTTCCGGTGGCAGTGGAAATGTGCAGCCACTTGTCGTTGAGACATTCCCCCACGGACCATCCCAATGGCCTCATGACGTTGTGCAGACGTGAGCTTTGGCATGCTATGCGTTTCAATAGCCGTTTAATTTTTTGAACGATCGCAAGGGCAGGGGTTGAGCTTTCCAAAGTGACAGTATTGTGTGGCATTCATTTGCTCTGTTTCTCTTTCCCGGAATGCACGTGCAACAACGTATTGCACGTCTCAAGGACGAACCCACTGACGTCACGGAACGTGGCACGTGCATGCATGTTGGATACATGTCACTAATCTCTGAGTTTAAATCCTTATGTGTCTACACAGGTTTGATAAATTTAGATTTTAAATTTTTGTATGCACAGTTTATTTATGTCCCTAGTATATTTTTGTTATTTGTGACCCACCTGGCCCATACAGGGCATCCCTTGCTCCATCACTTTGGCGTATTAGTTTTTCCCTGACGATAGCGTCCTTCCCCGACTCGTCCGTGTAGTGGTAAAATGTAATGTTTGCCATTTCTTGTCTTCTGAAATACAGAAAATACCATTCCTTCATTAAATTAGTCGTTTCCTCTGAAGTCATGTTGGTTGGTTGGTTGGTTGGTTGGTTTGTTGCTTAACGCCACACTCAGAAATATTCCAACAGTATGGCGGCGGTCTGTAAATACTCGAGTCTGAACCAGACAATCCAGTGATCAACAGAATGATATAATGGCATGTGTCAACGAGCCTAACCACCCGATCCCATTAGTCGCCTTTTACGACACGCATGGGTTGCTGAAGACAGTTCTAACCCTCATCTTTACGGGTAACTGAAGTCACATATTCTAAAGGCGTGCTTTTATAGATGAATGTCAACACACCAAGAAGGTTCCCTTCCTCGTTGATCAGCAAATGTTTTCTGGTAAAGTCGCTGGGCTTGAACGATTTATGGTGATAAACAGAAAGCGAAAATAGGAATGATCCCTAAAATGTCTACGAAACGCACCCAAAGCAATCAATCATACCTGCGTGGTTCCCGGGGCCTGGCCTGGCAATCACTACCAACTGGCCTCCATCACTGCTTGGCGACTCACCATACATTTACTGTAGAAATCCAAGACGGGGGTGGGGGGGGGGTGTTTTAGAATTATTTCATAACATTTTCATCGATACTATGGCAAAGTATACGTCACCAGAACAACGTCCATCATTACTTTTAGTGTACAAAAAGTTTGGAGCAGTTTGGAGCCCGCTCATAACAAGGACAGGGTGCGTTGTCTGAAACACACACACACACACATTAAATAATATACCTGCCTGTATAGTGTACCTGTTCTTACCATAGCGACAGGATGCTGGAGTAACGTCGTACGTCAGTTTCACTCACTCACTCACTCACTCACTCACTCACTCATTCACTCACTCTGCAGCAATGTGTCTACTGCACAAGGACGAGATCTCTTGAGGGGAAAAGGTTTATCCATTTGTTATTTGTCTTAAGAGTAGTTCCCGTCAGAGCTTTGCCTGATTTTTTTGTTAGTTTGAGTATTGATGTAGTGACAATAAGAGGAAGCCAATAGTCCATGAGGCAGAAACAATATATACATGGCTGATAAGATTAATTAGCAATGATAGCTGGAGTGCTCTAATCTGTTGTTTTTATAAGTTCATTGAATGCAGATGGGATGAGATATCCCTGATCTCTGTTGATTGAGGGCTTATGTCTCCGGATTTGAACTGCTTCTGCAAGTTTTCTTTTGGTGAAGTGCTGGAGGTTTTTCGATCATATCTCTACAATGTCCCAAATTACGTTGTGATAGGGACAGTTGATTCTGTACACAACGCCTTTGGGTTGATGTTGTCGTTTTGAGGTGTTCCTACCATTAGCTTTCAGTAGGGTTTCAGTGGTGTAGAGCTGGTAAAGTGGGTTTCGATGCCTGCTTGTCGCTTCAGGAGACGACTGATGTGGTGGGAGGTCTTCCTATAAAGAGGAGAGAAATACGAATAGGTGCTGGTTCAGTTTTGTTGGTGGCCAGTTTTCTTGTTGAGTGATGGGTGGTGTTGATAATTTTATCGACTAGCTTTGACGGGTAGTTGAACTTGGTGAAAACATGGTGGAGGTGCTGAATTTCTGCATTAAGACATGTGGAGGAGAGGTTGATGACTCGTCTCATGAGGGTTGAGATTATACCTGTTTTGGTTCTCAAGGGGTGGTTGGTGTCAACATGAATGCATAGGTCGGAGTGGGTTGGCTTTCTGAAGACACTAGTTTGGATCTTGTTAGCTGGGGTTCTGGTTACGAGGACATCTAGAAAAAGAAGTTGACCATTCGTTTCTGTTTCTATGTTGAACTGGACACGGGGATGCTGTTGGTTGAGGTGTTGCAGGAGGGTTGCTGGGTCTTTGGGCTGGCTCTGGCAAGGATATCTGTTATCTGGTGGCGTAAGTAGTCAATCTTTCCTCCTGGCGCTAGTTGTTGGAGTCCCTTTTCAATGTTGGTGATGAAGTCGTCTGAGTTGCGAAGTGGTGTGGTTGGGATGAACTTTAGTAACATACCTGCTGGTACAGGAAGGTCGATGACACGTTTGTCATTCTACGACAAGACCAAGACCCAGCAACCCTCCTGCAACACCTCAACCAACAGCACCCCTGGGTCCAGTTCACCATAGAAACAGAAACGAATGGTCAAACTCGTTTTTCTAAAATCACAACATACAGTTTTATCTAAGGCGGAAGACAAAGTAACAAACAACAGGTGTTAATATGTATTGGCTATTTATTTAATAATATTGGTATTCATTTCGTATTCAGTCAAGGCATTTGACATAGTAATTGTGGCGAAGAATAGTGTACCGAATTGTTTTTCTAAAATCGTTTTATCAAGATAAAACAGTATTGTCGAAGAAAGCTCAGTTGTCACGAATAATATTAGCGGCGCTGTCTATTGCACACGTATACGCTTATAGGGGTTGGTCTTGAGAGAGAGAGAGATCGCCTTTGTAAAGGAGAATATCACGATTCTTTGATTCATTCGTCACCTTGGACGTGGGCAAGTCAAACTTGAACGCATAATCCACTTTTCCCCTGTTCAAGTTACCCTGCCATCCGCCTTGATAGTTGTTTTTAGCGATCGCCTCCCTGCCGTGGTCAGGACTCATTCCGGTACCATACACTCCTGAAATTATCACAGATTGCTGATACAAATATACACATGGAAAAAGTACTTAGACAATAACTACAGGGTAACGGTTAATGGCAGATTATCGTTCCCGAATTATTAATTAATGACTTCTCGAGCCTTAGCGAGATAAGGGACCGTCCATGATTTATGGCTGGTGTATGTGTGTGTGTGTGTGCGTGCTTGCGTGCGTGCGTGCGTGCGTGCGTGTGTGTGTCTGGGATATGATTTTAAGGGGGGTGCCATTTTGTGCTGGGGAGGTAGGGGGCTCAGCAATTTGTACAAAGGGGGTCAGCAATTTTGTACATTAAATATGAAAAAAATATGCTTAAAAATTTATTTTTTAGATGACATGCAGAGGGGGGTCACTTACTTTGTACATCACCCCCACCCTCCCAAGCCATAAATTATGAACGGTCCCTAATTACAAAATTAATATAACGATGGAATGATAATCTGTCATTCCCCGTCACGCATTGGTTTATATACTACCCCATCAGAAGTTTAGACTCACCTAAAGCACTCACTATATGTTATGTATATATATGTGGTTACATCGAAGATGGATTTTTCCACTAAGTTGGAGGAACCAACTGCAAACCTTATGCAGATGAATTGCACGAGGATCATGCATCAAATTGCTGAAAAGCATGTGGAGATATCATGCATGTGAACAGCTGCGTTTTAGTGTAAAGGATTGTTAAGAAATCGTCAATTTTCACTGATTTTTATCATTTATTGAACCCATGACAATAATCTTTTCAACGTTACAAATTTGTTTTACAATACATCAGTTCATGTGTAAACAGTACCTTTAAACTGAATGGAATATTTTGCAAAATCTAGTTCAGAACGGTTGAATGAAGTAAGTGGCTACATATACACTAGTGAGTCTAAACTTTTGATGGGTAGTATATTACCCATATCAGTTTTCGATCTAAAAACGCTAAATTGAAAACAGCAGTTTCTTTGTAAGGTAGCCATTACACGTTGACCAAAAGGTGTAACCTCCCTTTGGACTTACAGGAAACTACTACCGTGTGGCCACCTTCCCATATGGGTAATAAATCGCAATACGTGTACCCGTCATTAAGCAAATATTAAGTTTCAGTAGCCTGTTCCTCCAGCTCGATAACGTGCCCTTCTTAGAATCACTAGACTTCATCCGTTCATGTCAGGTTGAGTGTTCAAAACAGATTGGCTTCCACATCATCGTTTGTCAAAATGAACGGTACGAAATCGCCTGTCGAGCGAGTATTTATAGTTTCCTTTTCTTGGTTCAAAAATGCCGTTCAACATAGAATTTCTGATCAATCACTTCAATTTTTCAACAACCCAATAACTACGGAAGCGTAGTAGGGCCACGGTGAAAAAATATTTTGGTCTTACTATCTCCTACATAGGACTTAGTATCTCCTACGTAGTACTTAATATCTCCTACGTGTGTGTGTGTAGGAGATATTAAGTACTACGTTGAAGATAATAAGTCCAACGTAGGAGATAGTAAGTCCTACGTAGGACTTACTATCTCCTACGTAGTACTCAATATCTCCCAAGTAGGACTTAGTATCTCCTACGTAGGACTTAATATCTCCTACGTAGGACTTAGCATCTCCTACGTAGGACTTAATATCACCTACGTAGGACTTACTATCTCCTACGTAGGGACTTAGTATCTCCTACGTAGGACATAGTATTTCCTACGTAGGACTCAGTATCTCCTACGTAGGACTTAGTATCTCCTACGAAGGTTATAGCATCTCCTACATTAGACTTAATATCCCCTGTAGGAGATGATCGATATGCGTTTATATACATTAATCTGAAAACGGTCGACTTAAATCCCCAGACACGCACACAATTTCCTGTTTCAGTCACTGTTAGTCTACAGTCATTCGTTTCATTCACTATTAGAGTCTACAGTTATGTGTTTCATTTACTGTTAGAGTCTACTATCATGTGTTTCATTTACTATTAGAGTCTACTGTTTCCTTCACTATTAGAGTCATGTGTTCAACAAATTGTTGCACATTACTGTGTTGGACCGACTGTTATACTTTACTGCCTTTGCGTTCAGCTTGCTCTACTATCACGCGTGGTGGCGATGATGATTTTAAGAGGGGGTCACCCATTTTGTTCTGGGGAGGTAGGGAAGTCATCAAATTTTTACACATGTACTAGGGGGAGTAGCAGTTTTGTACATGAAAATATATTCAAAAATTATGCTAAAAAATATATCGGAAGAGGGAGGGGGGGATTTTGTACATTGATTTTGTACATGACATGCAGGGGGTCACTCACATTGTACGTGCTTCTCCATAAAAAAACATCATCACCCCCAGCCCACACCCACCCCCTTGCCATAAATTATGAACGGTCCCTTTATTGGGAACAAAGCACTGTAATATTTTAATCAAATTTAAAACTGCCAACCATAAATTACCTATTGAAACAGGTCGCTACGAAAATATTCCTTCAAATAAACGATTTTGTCCATCAAGTCCCTCCCAAATCGGAGATGAATTTCATTACTTATTTCAATGTAATAATTTACTGCATCCAGAAATATGTATTTAAAGAACTATTTTGTAAACAATCATAACTATTATAAAATTTCAGCCCTATTTGAAACTCATAATGTAAAGCAATTAAGAAATCTATGTAAATTTCTTTCCATCAGAATGTCTGTCAATATGACATGATTGCTGGATTTGTTTCAAGCCATAGTCTAAAAGTGATATATTTTTGAAAAATATCTCCTTATGATGCTTTGCATGTTTTTGTAAACTAATGGTAATAAAAAGGATGACTGATTGATTGATTGATTGAGTCAGACGACCTATTAGACGTTGTGTGAGCACAAAGAAGCACGACTAGATTGGTGTGCAATACCTCGACGTCAACTATAACGTCTGGTAGTGTGACAGAGGAGGAGGGCCAGGTATGTTATTACAGCTGGCAGAGGTTACATCAGAATGCACTTGGTCCTTCATACTTATGTGATTTCTTGAGGACTGTATGCCAGAATCTTGAAAATGACCGCACTTCTTAAAGTCATAAAACCACAGTATCAGCGCTACAAAATGAGTCAGTTTTGCCATGTTTGCTTCTCTGAATAAAACTACATTGTTTCGTTCCTTTGCGTTAAGAGATGTCATTTGATTATTCCTTCAGGGTCAGTTTATCCAGTTAGTAAGTTACATGGAGGTTTGGATAAGTTCCTTTGCTGTAGTTACTGATGTTAACATATTGATACTAAAAAAACTATGGGGTGTTGCGATACTTCTTTCCATGTGTATAGTTCTTTTCGCCGCAAGACCCCTACACGTCCTCAATACACAATCAGGCTCCTTCGTATTTAACTACAAAGACAGAGTAAAACAAGGACCAGCTGATGCTACACAGGAAACAAAAGTTAATTTAAATAATTGTTTGATATGTTCAAATATCTAAGAAGCATTTCTATGATCTGTCGCTTGCATTTCTGACACGATCAAATACAAAAAAAAGAAACGCATAGGTGATTTTGAGAATATTGGGCTCATGTAGCTGCGGCAAAAAACATACAAATATACTACATATATTTCTTTCCAAAACATCATCTTTGTGTGATTGCGTCAATTTTAACTTTTTCCCTTGTTATAGAAGCGTTTGAAGAAATATTCGCCAAAACGTCACCAAGTAAACATGTAGAGCAAAATACACGTGCAAGTAAGCGGAAAACTATTCGGTATCCATCACTATAAAAAGGCAAACGTTGTGTTTAATTTTGTCTTCGTTTCTGCCTGGAAAAGAGGACATGGTCATGCTACGATTGAGTGCCGCCGATCGAAACATCGCCATTGGCCGCCTTGAAGCTGGGGAGTTGCAGTCTGTCTGCTTGTACTACATCTCCTAAGAAAATCAGCTTTGATCAAAGACATGCCTATGTTCAAGAAAAAGAAAAAGTTCCCTAAAACGTGGATAACCAACATTTACCTACTCGTTATAAGTTCAAACAATGACAGCTTGGTAACGATCAAGTCTAATTCTCCTTCATACGAACAGGTTTTCATACAAGATATAAAAGTTTGTTATTTCTGATAGTATGCACATCTTGTTGGTTTATCACCGGTATTAGTCAGAACTATTACAGACAGTCACACAAATATGTACTTAACATGCACACACGCATGCACATTCTCTCAGACACACGTGGGATTGCAAGTCGCTCTAAACGCGCAGTAACCTTAAACAATCCTAAACCCTATTACACCTCAGCCCACATTTCTAAACATGATATGTAACATCTGTAAACATGATGTATAACATTTCTAAACATGATAGATAACATCTGTAAACATGATGTATAACATTTCTAAACATGATAGATAACATCTGTAAACATGATGTATAACATTTCTAAACATGATAGATAACATCTGTAAACATGATGTATAACATTTCTAAACATGATAGATAACATCTGTAAACATGATGTATAACATGATAGATAACATCTGTAAACATGATATATAACATGATAGATAACATCTGTAAACATGATGTATAACATTTCTAAACATGATATGTAACATCTGTAAACATGATGTATAACATGATAGATAACATCTGTAAACATGATGTATAACATTTCTAAACATGATAGGTAACATCTGTAAACATGATGTATAACATTTCTAAACATGATAGATAACATCTGTAAACATGATGTATAACATTTCTAAACATGATAGATAACATCTGTAAACATGATGTATAACATGATAGATAACATCTGTAAACATGATGTATAACATTTCTAAACATGATATGTAACATCTGTAAACATGATGTATAACATTTCTAAATGATGATATATAACATCTGTAAAACATGATGTATAACATCTGTAAACATGATAGATAACATCTGTAAACATGATGTATAACATGATATATAACATCTGTAAACATGATGTATCTGTAACATGTATCATTTCTAAACATGATATGTAACATCTGTAAACATGATGTATAACATTTCTAAACATGATAACAACATCTGTAAACATGATGTGATATAACATTTAACATCTAAACATGATAGATAACATCTGTAAACATGTATGTATAACATTTTCTAAACATGATAGGTAACTAAACATGATAGATAACATCTGTAAACATGATGTATAACAATTCTAAACATGATATATAACATCTGTAAACATGATGTATAACATTTCTAAACATGATATGTAACATCTGTAAACATGATGTATAACATGATATATAACATCTGTAAACATGATGTATAACATTTCTAAACATGATAGATAACATCTGTAAACATGATGTATAACATTTCTAAACATGATAGATAACATCTGTAAACATGATGTATAACATTTCTAAACATGATATATAACATCTGTAAACATGATGTATAACATTTCTAAACATGATATGTAACATCTGTAAACATGATGTATAACATGATATATAACATCTGTAAACATGATGTATAACATTTCTAAATTTCATGATAGATAACATCTGTAAACATGATGTATAACATTTCTAAACATGATAGATAACATCTGTAAACATGATGTATAACATTTCTAAACATGATAGATAACATCTGTAAACATGATGTATAACATGATATATAACATCTGTAAACATGATGTATAACATGATGTATAACTTTCTAAACATGATATGTAACATCTGTAAACATGATGTATAACATTTCTAAACATGATATATAACATCTGTAAACATGATGTATAACATTTCTAAACATGATAGATAACATCTGTAAACATGATGTATAACATTTCTAAACATGATAGATAACATCTGTAAACATGATGTATAACATTTCTAAACATGATAGATAACATCTGTAAACATGATGTATAACATTTCTAAACATGATAGATAACATCTGTAAACATGATGTATAACATGATATATAACATCTGTAAACATGATGTATAACATGATATATAACATCTGTAAACATGATAGATAACATCTGTAAACATGATGTATAACATTTCTAAACATGATAGATAACATCTGTAAAACATGATGTATAACATTTCTAAACATGATAGATAACATCTGTAAACATGATGTATAACATTTCTAAACATGATAGGTAACATCTGTAAACATGATGTATAACATGATATATAACATCTGTAAACATGATGTATAACATTTCTAAACATGATAGATAACATCTGTAAACATGATGTATAACATTTCTAAACATGATAGATAACATCTGTAAACATGATGTATAACATGATATATAACATCTGTAAACATGATATATAACATTTGTAAACATGATATATAACATCTGTAAACATGATGTATAACATGATATATAACATCTGTAAACATGATGTATAACTTTTCTAAACATGATAGATAACATCTGTAAACATGATGTATAACATTTCTAAACATGATAGATAACATCTGTAAACATGATGTATAACATTTCTAAACATGATAGATAACATCTGTAAACATGATGTATAACATTTCTAAACATGATAGATAACATCTGTAAACATGATGTATAACATTTCTAAACATGATAGATAACATCTGTAAACATGATGTATAACATTTCTAAACATGATGAAAACATAATGTAATCTGTGCGTGAATTATTGTTTCAATGTGGATTTGGCCATGTATGGATAGCACAAGATGGAGATTTTTAAAACTGTTCAAACAACGATGTAAAGATACCAGCAGGAATGGTTTCAGGATGTTCGTTCTGCAAGTAGTGTGGTCTAGCTTTGGTGACTGGTGGTCTATAGCTCGTATTGTAATGGCATTACATGAAATATTGATCTTTGTGTTGAATAAAGTCTTTTATCATTTGAAATGGTTGGTTTTTAGACTCAAATTGTGTGTTTCACTGTCCTTTGTGACAGATATTTCTTATAGGCAAACCAAATTTTTTTCTCGTCACTATAGGGCTGAAATACTCCCGATGTGACGTTAAATTAGAAATCACTCACTCACTCTTCAAGTAGTATTAGTTACAGTGCTAAGTTTAAATACTTTATCAAACCTGAATTGTATTAATTGTCTTTAGCATCTATCCATCCACGCAGATTTGTAACCATGTGCAAATGTAATGGCCATGATTTTAAGATAAAAGCTGCAAGATTATCTAAACACCCGTACGATGAAATTACTACTTGTGATCATTGTAACCTCACAGTGGACGAATATCATGTACTTTTAGAATGTCCTCAATATTCATGTTTAAGATATAAATACTTACCATTATATTCATGTAGACAACCATCAAAAGAAAACTTTATTGCTGTTTTAACAACGAATGATGTGCAATTACTGTACAAGTTAGCCTTATTACTATAACATATTAATCGTAACAGATCAAATCGACAATTTCCCATAACATTGTCCATGTACGATGTGCTAATTACGTCGTATTACATGGCAGCGCTCTTACTGTGCACACCATTATATATTAACATTGTGCTGTTGGCCTCCTGGCCATAAGTACCAATACAATCTGTCTGTCTGTAAAACATAATGTATAACATTCGTAAACATGATGTATAACAGTTGTAAACATGACATATGTAACAGTTGTAAACATAATGTATAACATTTGTAAACATGATGTAAAACAGTTGTTATGTATCATGTTTACAACTGTTATAAATCATGCATAACATATATAAACATGATATATAACATATGTAAACATGATATATAACATATGTAAACATGATATATAACAGTGGTAAACATGATGTATAACAGTGGTAAACATGATATATTTATAATATACCAACCAGTTCCAAAATGAGCATATCTCGGGTTTGTGCTCTGTCGTATGAAGCCACTGCGTTCTATAGCATCTGCCGCAACTTCGTCCGTGTAGTGATAGAAGGTTATGGCATACCCAGGCGTGACTGCAAGTAGAATTCTTCAAGAACAATCAACGACGGCAATCAGTCGACAGTGCTGGTTCAAGTAAAACTATTGCAGTCACTGCGAATGTCGATAGAAATCCAAGTATTATGTTTTGTCGGCAGTTTTCATATCAGCTGTATCAAATACCACCAACATATTGGTGTGGTTGACCTTTTTGTGAAATTACAACCAAGATGTATCATACTCACGGGATATCAGCAAAAACACAATCTGCAGACAGATTAACTGCGTCTTCAACTTCATCTTTGTACTGTACAAACAATATCGACAGTATATCATTATACTCATCCCGACTCCAACTGCATTAAGGCAATCTGCGAATAATCCGGAAACTCCAGTAACAGCGATCATGAGCATCTAGCCACCCAACTTGGACACGAGGACTTGCATTCAGGCACGTCGCCGATCCATTTCAGTCACCTCTTATGACAAGTTTGGTTAGTGGAGACCTATAAATATTCCGACCCGAAATTCCCGACAGTGAACAATATCTAACATAGATAGGATATTCCTTGAGAATAATGGGAGGCTGGTTAGCACTCAGCAATTTTCCAGCCAAATGACCTCGGGCTGTAATTAATAGTCTGAACCAGACAATCCAGACGTAGACGGGTGTCTTCAGTCCGGACTTGTATTCCATTCTATAAGTTGAAAACATATTAACACGAACGACGGACTGTCAAGAAGTCCAAAATTATATAACCCACTTTGGTTGTGGTATTCCCAATAACATCGTCTGGATTTACATACTTAAATTAATATGATTAACGAATTATTGGCCTGTAGTAATGTTACAATTCTATATGATGACTTCAACAGACTTGACTGTATGCAGAGTAAGGTTGGGTGTGATGTAACATTAACGTGTTATAATCAATTAAACATGTATATGTTACAGGAAATATGTATAATCAGTAAATATGTATAGTTACTGAAAATTTCAGTAATTATGTATAATATCTGATTCACTCAGGAACTATTTATATTTACTGAAATTTTCAGTAATTATACATAATTCCTGAAATTTAAGAAACAAAATTATACATATTTACTTAAATCATTTGAATTACTGAAATATTGATATTACTTTTAAAGTCAGTCAGATTTTAATAGATATGTCTTCTTATGGTATATAAAATACAGCAGGATCAAAGGTTGAGTGTAGTTCAGTCACAACATAATTATACTTATTTATCGAAAAGCATGGTCTTCACGGTATTCAAACAATAAAGCATTGACCCTCTTCAAGAACTTGTGTCTTGAATGCCAGCGGAAGTGTAATAGAGCTAGAACAAAAGGGACCGTAGTAAAGCCAATCATCTCTAAAGACTTCAACTCCAGAGCACAAGTCGATGCAATCCAGGACTCAAGGACAGTTCAAATGGATCATGGTGTATCAAGACCATCTGACTAAGTTTTGTGTATTGCGGCCCCTGACTTCAAAACGCGCAGCAGAAGTGGCGTATCAGCTTCTTGACATCTTCCTCCTTTTAGGTTCCCCATGCGTTCTTCAAAGTGACAATGGATCTGAACTTACTGCCCAGGTTATTTCTAAGCTGAAAATTTTGCGGCCAGCATGGGTGATGGTACTTGGAAAACCAAGACACCCCCAAAGTCAAGGTTCTGTAGAAAGGGCAAAGTGACATCAAGGATACGCTTGTTGCTTGGATTGGTGATAATGATACAAGTGATTGGACTGTGGGACTAAAGTTCGTTTAATTTCAGAACCATACCGAATCAAGCGATTTCCTTTTGCGGTGCTTTTAGGGTCTGACGCTCGCACTGGATTGACATCAACTAGCTTGCCGACTGACATCCTGAAGACTACTGAAGAGAACAGTCAACTAGATGCCATTTCATCCAACCAAGAAGCCATTCAGCTGCAGAGGAAAAGAGCGTGTCAAGCTCAAACTGAACAGGCAGGGCGTATGGTACAGAGGAGCATGCGTATTTTCACACCTGTCAAAGTTGGAGATAATGTAGCTGTGTACATTCCCAATGTCGATAGAGGCAGAGCTGACCCTCGGAATATCATAGGTTTTGTGATTGATCGCAGTGACAGCGAAATGTGTATAGTCCGGTCAGTTTATGAGAATACCCTCCACAAATTGCAACAGAAATGATTTCAACTGTTTTTAAGACCCTGAACCATTCCTATATAACATAAAAAAAAGTCTAGGAAAATATCAGTGGTGGAACAAGGTCAAATTCGACCCTCAAGGTCATAGGGGTCATCTTCGCTTTCAAAATCTTAGACGGAAATGCAAACTTTTTTGTAATCTACTCAATTGTGTCATGTTACATATCAAATCAAAGCTCAGATTACAGACTTTTCAGAAATATATGGTTTAATAGGATTAATCTCATCATATTGTTCTATTTATAAAAAAACGTTCCGAAAAATATGAAAATCGTACCCGGACGTCCACATGTATATGTATGCTACGATTATGCCAAACATTTCATTTTTCAATTGTGTGACAATTTTTAACATGAAGAAATATTGTGATGACTATGTATCAGCCAATAGTCATTCCAAATAATAATGAAATAGAATGAACGATCAATGTTTTATATCGACACATTTTCATCAGGTACAAGGATAGGATCCTTTTGCCATCTCTTTTCCATCCCCAATCTGTCACAAAGCGGATGAAAAACAATGTCACACCAAACGTCACTGAATTTGGATCAACCTCTCTGGTGGAAAGCTTCAATGATAACTTCCAGTGAGCCTTCATCAAGTGTTTTTAAGAACGTCGTCCTAAGGCTTGAAGGAATTCACACTCAGATGAACCTTTTTGGATGCATTGGAAACATCGTGTCTGGATCAGGTCTGTTTGAACTTCTGGTATATGCCAGTAGCACAGTTAGTCACATACTAACAGGGAAAGCTGTTGCCAGAGCTATTCGAGCTCACTCTCTTGTAGACACAGCTCTCAATGGTCTGTTTGTATCAAGAACTTTTAATGCCTTCCTAGCTTCCGTAAACCTTCTGATGAAGCTGACCTTGCCACTCCCCTTTAACCAAGAAAAAGATGCGCTAAGCAATATGAGGACAGCAAAACTTTGGGTCCAGTACATGAACATGGTGGATATCTTATGGATTTTCATTAAAGCTGAAATATTAGGAAATTGGAAGATGCACCTAAAGCCTATTGCTGACATGTTGCCATTATTTGCAGCAGCTGGTCATAACTTGTACACCAAATCAGTTCGGCTGTACCTCAGATGATGACCTCCCTGCAAGACACACATCCCAAGACCTTTCAACTCTTCAACTCAGGTCATCATGTTATCCGCCGCTCCTATTGTTATTGGGGAGGATTTCCAACACATCTTGTTGATTGAACAGATGCTCATGCGGAACATGAAAACAAATGGAGGACTAACAAGGGGGCATGCATGTCTGAAATGTCAGCAATGCCATGAGTGATCTTACAAGTAGTTGAAACAGAAACTCTGAACTACACAAGGACCTGTCTAATGCAAGACAGGAGAGAGACAAGAATGATGCCATGAAACTTCTCCATTTCCTTCATAACAGAGGCCCTTTCAAACAAGGTCCTGACCTCAGAAACACTGCAAATGGAGTTGTCGCAAGTGAAACTGTGAATGCAGATGATGCATGTTGTGTTGTGTTGGAAGCTCTATTGTGGACTCTATGACAAGCACTACCATTGGCGACTTCAAATTCAAAAGGAAAGATCAAGCTGTACAAATGAACGAGAAACCTGTTACACCACAAGATGAAGAAATTTGCAACATTGATCCAGTTTTATTGTTTCAAAGGTTTCTGATTGCCGATAGCCAGTCAACACATGACCTCAAATTTTTGCTAAAGTTTGAACTTTGCAGTTATCCACCTGCACTGTTTGATTCTCCCTCTTTCCTGAAGGAAACAAGCAAACCTGCCCTGGCTTCATTCATATCAACATTGGATGATGGTGTTTCCCCTGGTCCAGCTTCTGATGCCGTGTATGTTCTCAATGGTGGGGCTTTGCTTCATACTCTACCTTGGCCACGAGGAGTATATTATGCTGACTTATGCATCACGTACTGCACATATGTCAAAAGACACTATGACAGAGATACTGTTGTGTTGAATGGATACTCCATTCTCTTCCCACAGAGGTTACTTGTCATATCTTCCTACGAACCTCTGTTCTAATACGGCCATATTTCACGGTTCTCGTAAAATCCCCTAGCGGCAAAAGATCGCAACACGAATTATCTCCCTTCTTTCTATCCAATCAGAAAACGTGTTACATCGACTTAGATTCAACTTGACTAACACAAGCAAATGTGAGGCCACAAATATCCCCCATCTGCCGGGGACTTGTGTTGATGTTACACACAAGACGTTTAATGGCTAGCTTGTCCGTTGTCAACGAGGGCGATGGAAACGCCACTGATCCGCCATAACATGACTGAGTTCTGTCTAGAAGAAACGTTTGCGCATCGCGCAGGGGAAGAGGTTTAGTTTTCTCGAAGTATACGGAAATTACCGAGGCCTTGCGAATGATCACTTTTGAAACAACGTCGCTGATTGCACAACTAAATCTGATTGCCTCCAATCACGAGTCTTGAACGCTCACACCATGAAAGGGCCGTATTAGAACAGAGGTTACGTAGGAAGATATGACAGGAGTAACCTCTGTGGGAAGAGAATGTGGATACTCCAGTTCATGGACAAAGTACACAACACAAATTAGACGGACTGGTGGACTTAAATTTGGTTAAATTTGATGAGAGTATGATCTTACAATCAAAGAAAGAGTCATTCCACGCCAATGTTCAGAACAATGTTCAGAACAACAGATCATCACGATGATGTGCTCCTATCTAGAACTTGAAGGATGTGACACAGTTCAAGCCACTGGTGATGCTGATGTTGTGATAGTTTGGCATAATCGTAGCATACATATACATGTGGACGTCCGGGTACGATTTTCATATTTTTCGGAACGTTTTTTTAAAAAAGAACAAATTTGATGAGATTAATCCCTATTAAACCATATATTTCTGAAAAGCCTGTAATCTGAGCTTTAATTTGATATATAATATGACACAATTGGGATTACAAAAAAGTTTGCATTTCCATCTAAGATTTCGAAAGCGAAGATGACCCCTATGACCTTGAGGGTCGAATTTGACCTTGTTCCACCACTGATATTTTCCTAGACTTTTTATATGTTATATAGGAATGCTTCAGAGTCTTAAACCAGTTGAAATCATTTCTG